AATAAAATAAAATAACTAACATCTTTAAATAAAAAAGATGAATTATCCCATTTTTCAATACAAAAAATATGAGCAATGCTTTCATTAGCAGTTGTAGAATATTCAATAAAAGTTAAATAATATTGTATATTAGTAACAATATTATGTTTTGTTAATTGAATTAATGGTTGTTCAAAATAATTTTTAAGTTGAATATCAGATAATAATTCTTCATCTATAAATTGAATTGAATCTTTAAGAGCAGTATCACTTTCTATATCATTATTTCCTGATAATTTAGCAGTACTATTAGAATCTGCTTCTTAAATATTTTATTAAACTTAAATAACAAAAATAAATAAATTAAAATAATTTTTAAAATTCTTTTTACTTCATCTTCATGAATACTTTCATAAGCTTCAAAAGCATCAATAAGAGAATCAAGAGACATAGTAATAATTATATTTTTGTAAATTTTCTAAATTTAAAAAACAAGATTAATAAAAATATACACTATATATATTTTATAATTAAGTAATATATATTTACATGTTATTTAAAACATAAACTTTAAACTTTATTACATGTTATTTAAAAATATAAACTTTAAACTTTATTATTTATTTGAAGCTTAAACTATAATATATATATAAATATAATTACATCTTAATAATGAATAATTATATAGGGGTGAGTCAATAGAAAAGGGACAAATTTTTTCTAAGTAAAAGTTTTCTAGACTTTAGGCTTAAATATCTTGGCAATTATCTCATCAAATTTAATAAAATTTTTTTATTTTAATTCTATATAATTTCAATATCAAAATAAAAAAATTTTTAGCAAATTTGATTAATTAGTTGTTGAGATATTTTAATTTAAAAATTAAAAAAATTTCACTAAAAATGATTTGTTCTTTTTCTATTGACTCCCCCTATATAGTAATATATAAATATTTAATTACATTATATTAAAAAAAATAAATATTTAAGAGTGAATTTATTTGTTGCCAGCGGTGATAGTTACCAGAGTGTGATTAACCAATTAGATCAAAGGATCACGTATAATGTGAAAAATACAAAAACTTTGATTTTTTTAAAAAATCAATTCTAACTTAAAATTTTGTCTATGAAACTACTTCTTTTTATATAAAAAAAAATTTTTTGCAAAATTTTACTATATACTAAGCTCTATCCAAACCTTAACTATGACTCCAACCCAACTCTAATGATAGTAAGTTTCGATGCTTTGTTTTTGTTTTGATCAAACGTTACATGATTTAATTGGTCGATCATGCTCTGGTAACTGTCACCGCTGGCAACAAACACATTTTTTTAATATTTAAAATATATTAATTATATAAATATCTAATTATATATATATTATTATAAATATTTAATTATATTATTATATAAACTAGTTATACATAAATTTATAAATATCTAATTATATTATTATATAAAATAGTTATATGTAAATTTATAAATATCTAATTACATCATATTAGAAAAAATAATTATGTAATTATATTTAAAACATATTATTTATATATATCTCTTAAATTGTAATGCAGGCAAATTTGCCTGCGAAGATTTTTACTAATTTTTTTAATATTTAAATTTTTTAATAAAAT